TTTATTTATTTATTTATTTATTTATTTATTTATTTATTTATTTATTTATTTATTTATTTATTTATTTATTTATTTGAGTCAACATTATGTTTTTCTACAATAAACCGAGAATACAGAATTGGAGAACATGGACGATAAAATATCTATGTTTATTGTCCTTGTCATTCTATTTCTCATTGTTACCGATCTAATTTTTTGTCCACATGTTTTACCTGCAGCCAGCGAAAAGGTCACTCTAATTCGACAAGCATTTGAAATATTCCACAACCAAAGTTGCGTCAAATTTGTTGAACGAACAACTGAACCGTACTATCTTTACTTTCAAAATCTAACTGGGTAAGTCCGTCATGGATAATATATGTAGTGGACCGAGTCCGAGGTCATTATTCGTGCATATTCATTTCAACTACGGAAAAAGTGAAATTATAGATATACTATACTCAGCCTCAACCAACTCAAAAACCGTGTGTATATTTTTTACAGCTGTTGGTCATATGTGGGTTTTACCAATGATGCAAGGGGATATCAGGAGGTCTCCATTGGTGATGGYTGTGAACATCTTGGTGTGATTATACACGAGATATTGCATGCGCTGGGTTTCTGGCACGAGCAATCTCGTCCTGATCGTGATTCGACTGTGGAAATATTATGGGAGAATATCAAGCCGGGTAAGAAACCACATGAACTCGGCTTAGCCTCCTCATTGGACCCCACTGAAATTTAAGTTATCGTTTGCATGGAATACCATGAAGTAGAGTGCATATTTTGAAGGGAGGAGGGTGGGCACGTTGTGTCTAAATATTTAGATAATGCTTCATGTAAACGTAATTGACTGGACTGCGGTAATATATTTTATTGTGTTCGCAGCATTTGAGAATAACTTTAAAAAACTGGATAAATCACAAGCCAATGAACCAACGAATTACGATACAAGTTCCATTTTGCACTATGCGAATTATGCATTCAGCAAAAATGGAAAAAAGACGATCCAAGACATAAACAATCCTGCAAAGGTTTTAGGACAAAAAGATCGCATGAGTGATTCGGATGTTATCGCTCTTGACCTGCTATACAGCTGTAACGGTAAGGTTATAAGGTTACTATCCTGATCAGGGGCGGTGGAACTGGACAGGGACAGGGGAGGGCATTGCCCTTTAAAAACTAACATTTTCATAATTCCAATTTTAATTAATATGTCTTATTCAAGATAGCCGGTTTTTACCATGCTTATATCGTAAGGCAAACTTGCCACGCGGCCCTTCAGGAGGCAAAAAGTTTGGATATTTCAACACGTTTTTCATACAATTTTTTAATTGTTCGGCGTCGCACTTCGCGATGACGTCACAGTTCATGTGATGTGACGCCATTAAAATACCTGCGGGTACTTGAAAATTTCATTATTCCCTCCCCTCCCCCCCACCCTTCCCCTAAAGAATGTTTAGCTTCCGCCGCCCCTGAGTAACATGCTATATGCTACAGATGTTTGTTTTTGAATGGAACAAAACAAATCTCACATAGAACGATAGCAAAGCAAGGGAAACAACCCTGTGACAATGGATCCTTTCGCGTTTGTGAAATGAAAGCGAGAAACATGTTTTGCTGCAATGCTCAAATGATTGAGTGCCAAGCTATTTCTTGTACATCAACAGAAATTATTTTCCTCAAAAGCACAATTTTGGGACTGTTGTCCCACCATTCTGTCTTGCTTTCGACGCAAAACCACAGGCTCCTTGCGCAACTTGTTCTCAAACCAAACTGAGGGCTATTAAAGATGATTGCATTTATTTATTTACCCATAATCCATCCTTCATTGTGTAATTTCAATATGTTTTATTCTTGAAATTTTTAAGTTACTGATGGCGGTTGGAGTATGTGGACACAATACGGACCATGCAGCGATGACTGCAAAAAAATCAGGAACAGATTCTGTACCAATGCCCAAAGCAGTGCTGCTTGTGATGCTAATCATCAAGACGGCAGACAGAAGCAGATTACAGTTTGCCCTGACAGTGAATGTTATAGTAAGACATTTAATGTACTTTATTTTCTATTAGTTCACTGTTTGCTTCTATACTTTATTTTCGCTTATTAGTCCTTTTCTTCACTAGTTGCTTTACATCTATCTACTGCTCCAAAACGTCAAGTGTTTGTCGAAGTCGGATTTTCGATTGGTCCGGAGTTTCATTACTGCAAAAACTTTTGTATTTCTACTGAGTATTTTTCAAAGAATTGTGTCAATTGTATTAGTAATTACTGAAAAGAATCGCGCTCCTTGAAGGTTGTTAATTTAATGGAAATATGATGTAAATTCAATCTATAATAATTACAAAAGTTGTTAATATCCCGTAAGTGTCCAAAATCATGGAAATATCGTGTAAATTTGGATTTTAATTTACAAGTTTTACCTAATATTCCCATTAAATTTGCATCGTTTGTAAAAAAGTGCGTAACTTTGATATGAATCAAATTTACAATGTATGTAAATGTAATGTAAATATTACTTCATTTTTACATCATTTTTACATCAAATTTACAGCGCGGTTTTTTCCAGTTAATTCATGTATTGGTAGCAGTGTCCGGTGACTGCATTGTTAAGTTTGACAACCTGAGACGAAAAGTCCAGAAAAACTATAGGAGAATTTAAAGAGCTAGCCCCGCTAAAGATATAATATAGAAATACCATGTCTCTCCATTTTTTTGCATTAGCAAAATTAAACAACATCATGAAGTGGTGTTTTGTTACTTGCATAGAACCTGTAGACGGTCATTGGGGAAAATGGACTACATGGGGTAATTGTAGCAAAACTTGTGGTCTTGGGACGAAGACCAGAACAAGGGAATGTAACGATCCAGCGCCAAAACATAACGGAAAGAATTGTCCTGGCTCTAACACAGAAACCGGCGAGTGTCAGCTCAAGGAATGTGGTGCAGGTGATTCAAACTCTCGATACTTATTTCCAATCATCTAGGCATGGGATTCCTGTGTTAAAGAGAGCTTCTATTAGCACCTAGTCCAGAAACTAAAACCCACTTTTCACTGAAAAATTAGTATGCTAGAAAATCAGAAATTCATTAACACTAATCATATACGGTCGCAAGTGATGTTTAATGATTTATCATTATGATTATGAATATGCTGCAGAAGTTCATGTTTTAATATGAAAATATTTAATATTTTTATATTAAAATGTACTATGTATTAAGTAATTCTGTTATGCTGTCATTTGATTCAAATTTAAAACGTTTTCATTCGATTTCCGCACACGTTTACAAGTTAGTTTCATGTTAAATACATTCTCTTATAAATTGTTTTTGTGTTATTTTTTATGATTAGGGCCCTGTGACTGTGGATTTGACGATAATGATCATAAATTCTGTGGATGGGTTCAAGATCCAGATGATGACAAACCCACATATAAAGATTTTAAGAGAGGTGGGGCAACGCCTAGCGGTAACACAGGACCCCAGAACGGCGATCATACATCAGGAAATGGTGTGTATTATGCTATTAGAACAAAAAACATAGTTTTTATGGATGTTATCACTGTCATCGCCATCATCCAGTTACGATTTTTTCTTGCGCAATTTGTAAGTCACTTATCATTATTTATAGGCATGTTCATATACAGTGAAGCGTCTGATTGTATTCACACCACTGGTAAGTTTGTCAGACTCCTCAGTACAWTGTTTCCAGCTACAGGATCCAGTGGTCGCTGTTTCTCTTTATGGTACTACGGCTTTGGGGCTACACTGGGCGATTTCAACGTATACGTGAAAACTGGCTCTGGGGAGACCAGAATAGGTGGTTTCACAGCCACTGAATTAAGAGCACAGAGTRATGACAAAAAATGGAAGCAGGCCAAGTATCACTTTACTTCAGACCAGCAATACAAGGTAAGTACGGAAAATGAAAACAAAGTCTACATTCGATGGCAGCCACTGGCTGAAACACTGGTTAAATCGTTTTAAATAATTATTGTAAATGCGTCATGATATAAAAGAAGTGTTGTAAAGTTGTCGTTGACTTGCGAAAAAAGAAACAAAAAAGGCATCAATTTATCTTTCTCTTATTCTGATACCAAGGTTTAGTATTGATAGTACTATGAGATTTTAACTTGTAACTCAGAAGCCACCTTAACATGACAAACATTTTTTGTAGATTGTGTTGGAGTCGAAGTGCGGTCTCGATTACAGGGCGGATCTAGCTATAGACGATACCAAATTTACCGATGGTGTCTGTGCCTAAGTAACGGTAAACTCAGTCATATTACTSTAGTGCAAGGTTTCTTATACATTTCCTCCACAAACTAATTATAGTTTCTTTCACAGACAATTTTTATTCAATTTTTATGTTCTTCGACCTTCAGTGACAGTAAAAAAAAAATAAAGTTCTCAGAAGAACAAAGTAACCACGTTGCTAATGAAAATCTTAATCTAATCTGACATATCTGTCGTCACATATTTTATTTAAAGGGCTACTTGGACGAAAATTGCAAAACATTAGAAAAGACTTGGAAATCAAATAGATATATCCATATCGGTCTAATAATCATGAAGCAACAGATTTCAAGAAGATATTGATACAAATCCTTAACAATTTGGGCAAAAAATGTTGGAGTAGATGACGTCATTTACTCCATCCTTTTGTTCTTCCATCTTTTGAATCAAAATTTCTCTGATGTGGGATAATTCAAAAACAAATATTTTCCCGCAATTGTTTTTAATAGATATAAATGAGTCATATATTTGTATTGCTTGAAGTTTTGAAATAAGACCATTTTCATGCAAGTAGCACTTAAAGGAATAAAAGACGAAATTCCGTGTTTGATACTCTGATCAAAACACGCGCGATGTAGGGAGAGCACGAGAGAAGCGTAGAGGAAACCACGACGCGTAGCGGAGTGGTTTCCAGCTTTTCGAGCTTTATTATTTCATTCCGAGCTTTATTATTTCATTTATTGCAATGCTAGCCAGCATCCAATACCACCAACACGCATTGCGTGACCCAAGTTGTCGCATCATCGAACAAGAAAGCGGAAAACGGCTTCAAATGCTGTTCAAACGTTTTAGTCTATCGAGGAAGAGAACAAAAGACACGTTGATTTGAGTTTCAAACACTGATGTTGGGTRTTTGTTTGTTCAATGGCGCTGGGTGGCCTCTGCTGAACGGAGTTTTATAACTTGAAGTCTTTCTTTTGCAGATACTTAAAACAAGACAATCAACTGAACTATGGACCATGTCGATGATTTCAAGGATAAATTAAGTGATAATTGGATAAAATACACATCACAAATGAAGCAAGTCCTGGTGACTTAAAATAGAGTTTAAAATAAACCACGAGCATTGAAAACAAGTCATTTGGTTAATCAATTCGCTTTTTCACACGACTGAAATCATTCGTGCAAAGATATGCAGCAGTTAATTTTACACGCTCTTTTGTCCGCCATACCAAGGTCCTGCTGATCTCCATGCGGCATACACCTATTTCAAAAATTTTGTCGGGGAGAACGGCGAACGGCGATCGTCGAAGGGAGAATGMACGACAGAAAGGGACTATGGTTACGCTGTTTTGACAAACAAAMTTTTACTTGTTCGATTCACCTCGGATAGAGACTAAGTAAAACCAATTTTCAACACAGACTAATTACAGTATAAGTCAGTAGTGTTATTTTTCATCCGTTATCAAAATCAATGACTAAGTGTACTTTYGGTCGTGCAATCGCCGTTCGACAACTGACATTCGCCCGATTTTATCCGATAACCTTTTTTGAAATAGGTTTATATTTACCGTCGAATTGAAAATCGACGTGTCCTGAACATTGCGAAAATTGCGATAAAATTTCGCATTTTGCATTATTTTGTAATCTTGCATTATTTTGTAAAGAACCATATCTAATTATTCGCGGCGAGCTATAAATTCAGCATCGTTAGCTAGTTTTATTTTTTTATTTGTTATTTTCCTCGTTCAGCAACAAAATGACAAAAATCAACGCATGCGTAGGCAACTATGATATGCACAATGAAATATGAACCACATGGTTCACTACAATAATGGCGGACACACGTTTTAGAAAATGTGTGTCWTTTTKAGACGATACTTTCCCTGAAACTTGAAGAGAGATTACTTTACGAGCGATATATTACGAGAGAACTCTTAAGAGTGAAAATTCTATCGTGAATGGTTCGTCTACTGCTTTAAACTCAATATCAAAAGCTCGAGTCCACATGRTGAATATGCGTCTAGTTTTGATTGAAACAATTAACGACATCATCTTTTTCTCTACACCCCCCAAACTTGGGGGGATGTACCGCTAGGTCATCAAAACCCTGATCCTGTTCCAGAGTGAAATCGCTGAAAACTATACCCTGTTCCTGAGCAAAATCGCTGGCGATACTCTATTCCAGAGAAAATCCAGCACTAGCCTGCGTGTAGGCTCAGTCTCCAGCCGTCGGGATTTCGTGCGCCCGCGATACTCTCTCCCCTGACGGCTGGGCGCATGAGGTTCGCTATTGTCAGTCTTGACCAGTCAGCGAGTGGCCCCCGATATTTTGAGGGGCATATCATTAATAAATTAGCAGGCAGCAGTGTAACAAAATGGCGTACAATTCGTCGTTTGAGATTCTCTTTGAAAGTGCTTGTTTGAAGGCTCTAAAGTCGTTTAGCTTGGACGAATTTAGAGAAATACAGCAAAAGGCTCTTAAAGAGATTGTTCTTGGAAAAGATGTCCTTGTTATTCTTCCTATACTGGCTCAGGCAAATCTCTTATTTTTCAAACAGCGCCACTAGTGTATTTTGCTCGTTTTTTGGCAGATAATACATCCATTTGGATTATTAAACCCTGCACATGTTTTACTTGGGGTAATTTCCATTCCTTTCTCTTTTTTAAAGCGCTAACTATTACATTATATCGCTACTTCGCGAAATTTTCATTTCACATAATTTCCCGCCTTGTAGCAAAACCTTTACGGCTGTTGTCAGATATTTCACTTCCGTTCACTGAAAAATTCACTTCCGTTACGTCATAATATGCTAATTACACAAAAACGTCACGGACATGCGCGACACGTTTCGAACCCCATGCGCCCAGCCGTCAGGGAGAGAGTATCGCGGGCGCACGAAATCCCGACGGCTGGAGACTGAGCCTAGCCTGCGTGTGGACCGAATTTTTACCCCGTGAATTTTTAGCCAGCATCAATAATAGTTTCATAATTCCGGAATTAAACGCTGACCCTGATCCATAGAAAATTCGTTGAAATCGATACCCAGTTCCAGAGCAAAATCGCTAAAAACGATACCCAGTTCCAGAGTAAAATCGCTGAAAACAATACCCTGGTTGGCGGCACGTCCCCGTATAGGGAATATAGGGGAGTACCTACGAACCGACAGAGGAGTATCAAACGAAAGACTATGCAACATCACAAATACCAAACCGTTGATGAAATCTATTGTGGTACGGCAGCTCCAATTCCTTGGTCACATATATGCGTCTGCATGACTCAGAGCCATCAAAAATCTATGCACTTTATGAACCTCCCCACGTAAACAGACCGGAGCTGGATTGGGTGGATTTCCCTCTACCCCCATTGCGATCCATAAAAATAATGAAAATCAAAAATTGAATGCACATTTTTAACTTAACTATCGATTCCATCAAATTATGTCGCTACTGTCTTTCAAATTTCGTAATTTGTCAAATAACCTTCTTTGTCCGCCCCTAAATGCCCACCCACCCTCCTAAATACCAAACATCATTTCAACTGATCTTGACGTCCTTTTGAGAAAAAGAGAAGAAAATTTCCGCGTTAAATGGTGTTTCATGCAATTATTCATCATTTTGTTTTTTAAATTGCTCCAGACGATCAAAWATTACTGGTTTGAACAGGGAGCTGATAAGATATTTTTCCTTTGCAGATACATGAAGAAGACAGTGAAATTATGAACCAAGTGGATGATTCCAAGGATAGATAGATAAATTAGGCACCGGGATAGAAATAAACTACGAGACTTAAAAAAAAAAACAAATTATAGAAATTCATTTATTGATTTATTATGTCTTTATTTCTTTACTTTGTTGCTTTAGAACATTTATTTCTTTATCTAAACATCAAACAATTTATTAATTTCAATAATATTCTATTAGTAGACTTTCTTCAGAGTCTCYTAAGGGGATTCCCCGTCATATGTGAGTTTCTGCTTTCCTACGCGCGGGGAAAATGAATGGCTAGCTTTCCAGGTTAGTCCTTTTTGGTGATGAAATGTAGGCAAAATTGTTCTTCATAGCTCGATCGTAATGTGTACGTGTTCGACCTCATGCCATTCACTGAAATATKAATGTACTACAGCTGATACCAAATCATGCACTACGTAATGAGTACAGAAATTCACAAATTTACAAATACTAAATTACGTAATTTCTCCTGTTCGCGATATAATTAGCCTTATGGACATTTCATAGAGTTTTCATTTGATGATGCACGTACTCATACGGTGACCGCATTACCTCTTTTCCACGCGTAAATTGGAGTTTTTAGTCACAGAACTCTATTGAAAGAAAAGATTTTTGGAAGGTATATTTAGGTAAATCTTACAATTGCTTACTTTCGACGTCGTGAAATGTGCTCACGTAGGTTCATAATTTTTCTTTTATTCAAAAAGTGAGGGAGAGCGCACTGCCAATCAGTACGAATTCACGCAAGTGTAATAGAAACGGATGTTAATAGTAGATTATACACCCAAAAGATAGTTAAAACTTACGTTATTGAAGGATATATTATGATCGAAATCGAACGGGTGCACGAGCTAATGAACAGCACTTTATCAGTTACGCAGATACTTGTTTGGCCTCGTAATGATTTCCCACCTTCTCCTCCCCCCCCCCCCCTCCCCCCTCCCTCCAGACACAATTGCTAAGCCTGTTGACAATAATGTTTCTTTATTCACATAATTATCGCACCAGGTTGTAGCTCTTACATACAAAACCATATTTTTTTCCGTATGGGGKGTATTTACATTTGTGAGAGTTTTGAGTTATCTCAGCGCGTGTACTAACGCTAGCCACGTTTATTTAAGCGGTTCGTAGATTTTCTATTGTTTTTGCAGGAAACTAATTTTACTTGCGGGTGCACGAGTACAGGAATCCAATTCGATTTGTTATGACCTTGGCGACTCTATTCGCAGAAAGAGCTGGCTCCTACCTCACATTGTTACATAATCATGAGTAAAAATCAACAATGACAAATAAGAAAGACCCCGGGCCAATGATCAAAGACCAATTTTTGGTTTCAAGGTGAAAGTGCTTTCTAGTTAAAAGTGCATCAAAATTGCATGAATGTGAACTGGAGTGTACAAACCAGACCCATTCAACTCCTACGCATTACACAACGAATTGCATCATTTCAGCTTTGTGTTATTATCAATCTTTAAATAAGGTGAATTCATGAGAGGAGTTCAAAAACGGAATCTTTGAGGACTATAAGATTGGGGCACAGAAAGTACAAAATAATCTATCATCGTCATAGAAACGGACGTACAGTTACAGCTGCTAACTTCCGGCTAGTCTTCTATCGACAAAGGCCTACTTCCGGTGTGAAAGCACGCACGWACYAAAGGGAATCAACCGAAACTTCTTTTATCAGAATTTTTAGCCTTCCTTGCCAGGATACAAAATCAAGATTTGAAAAATATCATTTAATAGAGTGTAATAGGGGCATGGTGCTGGACTGTCTCAGACTTTGATACATTCATCCGTTTAATCATCCAATCCAGTATTTTACTTTAATGCAAGGCGCCTAAAATATCATCATTCCAGTCATAAAGATCCAAAAGAACCTCTCTTATTTTAAACCATAAAAGGTCAAGTGTAAGCAAATCTAATTTGATCGTCGTGCTGTGTCTAGTTTTAAGCGATCGTGGCATGCATAATATATTTTTCAATTAATGTTTCAATGAAATCTTTGAATTATTTGTTTTTTAAAATTGCGCGTTTTTAAGAGCATTTTTAATGTGTTTCTTGGGGTTGCTTTTTAAAATAAAATTGTCTTCAAAAAATACACCATAGCTACATTAAGTTTAGTTATCTTGAATGTTGTTGGCATAGGCAACCATCCGGATCGGAAATTTAATCTGACAGCTTTTGTTATATTCACACGCTTGAAATGATTTGATTGGCTGTGGTCTTATCTATTCATAGCCAATAAGAATCTGATTGGTTCTTTTTGACAATGAAGAACTGGTGTCACGTGTTTCTCTTGGAGAGCTAAAAATCATAACACGAAATAAACGAAAGAAATTTGACCAAAACAACAACACGAGACGATCTTACAGGAATGAATTCGTCTTCTTTTTGGCTTTTTATGCAAGAGCCTCGATAGCTAAACTCAGGAGTATCGTGAATCAACTCTTTTGAATAAAGAAAGGGTCCTTTTGTTGTGCCCATTGCCAAGGAAATTTTCGCGGACAATTTCGTGTCGACATCCATGCCTCATTTGTAGGTTACAATGGTGAAGACATTTCAAGATTATCTCGTGGGCTGCCATCGACGATATAGCTGTATTCATTGTAGAGCACATCTTGCCAACCATGATGAGCTGATCTCGAAGGTGGGTGATGAAATGAATCGAGCTACTTGTTTGCTCATGAAGAAGATTCGACCGAGCGAACTAGTTACTTCGTCACAACGCACAAAAACACTAATTGTTTATTTCTGTTTTTTTGTTCAGTCATTTCAAGGCAGTCAAGGACGAGCATACCTATTCAATAAAGTGTAAGTATCATTTTTTTTCTACATTATTATGGATTTTTCCGTCATTCTCACATCTTTTATATTCATTTAGTGTGAACGTTGGTTGCGGTCCGGCTGAGGAAAGAGTATTATTGACTGGTTTGCATGCCGTCTCTGACATCTACTGTGAATGCTGTAAAACCACATTGGGCTGGAAATACGTAAGTCTCAATTGAAAACGTTACGTTKTGCCCAGCTTACGTCGTTGGAGCGCTTTTTATGGGAAAGAACCTTCGTATGCTTCCGCTCGATCGAGAGACAAGTACTAAGTTCAYTTTGACGTCGATATAATAAAGTAATCGTCGCGATGACAGAAAACCTTCGACTCTAATATTTGTGGATATTTTTCGTTTCAGGAACATGCCTTTGAAAATAGTCAGAAATATAAAGAAGGAAAGTTTATAATCGAAATGATTCATATGATCAAGGATAATGGATGGGAATGATCGGTTTTGTAATGGCCGTGTTGTCTTTTTATGCTCAAGAGCACGAGCTCTGAGTTCCAGCTGAAAGGTTTTGTACAGTTGATATTTATATATAAAATATATTAACATTTCCAGCTATCTTAACAAGATAATGTTATCAGAAAAGTATTGCCTTTATGGAAAGCTTTTGTGGTTCAAGCATACATAAAAAAGTGAAATTTTATAGAAAAATAACAATTTTGAAGGTAATGACATCATTTTGTAAATAGCAAAGAAGAGCGAGTTACGAGAGAAATGTAAAATAGATTTATTGCCATGAAAATAACTTGTTATGTTTAAGTAACAGCAAAATACTTTAAATTTTATGCTATTTAGGACAGGAGGATTTTATTTTATTTGTAAATACAATGATTTATGCAGTTAATGCGCGCGCGAAACATTTTGTGTTTGTACACTTCGAAGAGTTTGGAGACTACTGGCTTTTATTTATCGCTGTCCCTTTATAAATGTATTWTTTCTTGGTCATTTGCCTTAAGCTTAAGCTTTCGAGCACGAACTGCCATTTTGTTGAATTTTTTAGCTGTAAATCTCGTCACTCGTGCCTTTGTTTATGTCAGAAATATCGAAAGTCGTGTTTGCAAATAAGGTTGTTGCTGATTGGTTGAATTGTATCAGATGTTCATTTACATAACAATAGGGAAAGWCAAAAATAAAAAAAATATCTCTGGGGAGGTTGAGTTTGRTTGAACCTTGGAAATTTATATCTCAGTTACATGTAACGTGATTTTTTTCCCATTGGCGATTTGCCATGTTCTCAAAGTTCTTCATATTTTTAAACAAAGTGTGACTGAGATTMGTGAGATTATTAGTCGAGAATAAGAAAAGCTAGGACAAAAACAGTACAGATTTAGTCTATTCTATTGTACATAGGCATTTTATGTGATTATTACAATAATAATTCAATGTAGATAGGAAAAGTAAGAAATAAAGAAATTGTTTTTCAAAAATGTGTGAATGTCATTTGCATTTATAATGAGCAAGCTATAAATCATTTTATCCCTCAGTGAATGAATGCTATTCAATTTTGGTACTTGAGGAGATTTGTCACAAAAARTTTAACACAGAAGCCACTAGTATCATGATTGGTTGGCATTTTTATTGAAATTGATAAAGAAATTTGWACATACTGTTTTCTACCATGATTGATTTATCAGTTTCGTATTATAGCTATTATGTTTTCTAGATTGTCAACAATGAAAACAACCATAAAGTAAACAATGGCATTATTTCTATTATTACGCTTTTTTGTTTGTTGTTGTTGGGTTTCTAACGTTGGACTTTMTTCAGTCATTTTGTACTTGTGGCACACAATGTTGTGGGCTGTGGGGGGGAGGGGGGGCTTTAGGCGTATAAGTGTATGCATATTCTTTAGCAGAGATCCTTTTGTAATGCACACACTGTGTACAAAGAAGACAATAAAAATTTTCTACTTGATCATATTGAAGCTAAGCTTGAACAAAAAAGAATTCGAAACTGGAGCATAGTGAAAAGTAACTTCGCACTATCACTTTCGCACTCCGGAAGAATTAATTGCTAAGACTAACTCGGATGAGACACATCGAAATCTTCATTCTTTTTCTTTCTTTCTTTTCTTTTCTTTTTTTTCATACTTTACGAGAAGCGCTATAAAGTAAAATCCTTTTGATTGAAAATGAATTATAGGAAGGTTTCAGTTTCGCGTTAACATCACTAAATCGTTACATTATAGGCGACACTGAACTCCATGCGCATGCGTTTTATAAACTGCAATACGTCTGGATGGCATGGGACGAGTATGTGAATGGTAACTGTCGGAAAGTACTGTTTCGGGGAAAGGAAGGAGATGCCTCACTTACTGACGTGAAATAGAACACTTTTTAAAAGCCAACACTTTTTTTAAAGTATTTAAAAATACTCTACCAGGTTACTGGAAATAAAAATCATGGAGATACTGGAGATGGAGACCTTCGATAAGGATCAACGTTTTAAAACTGATGTAGAGAATACGAATATCGACGAAAATGACGGAAATCGTAAGTATTCAACAASAAGTAAACCATGACTGAGGGACTGAAGTTATGAAAGTCAACCACAAAACGAGGAGATTCATAGTGCAGACAATATGTTTAGCGTCTTTTATAAGAATTATACTATGGTATACCTCGCTTAGGTTGAAGAAAAAAGTCTGATTTTATCATACAACTGAGTGATACATTTTAATCCTTTAATGCATCTTAAAAGTCAATTTGTATCTGATTTTGTATGCTTGACGAAACTCTATAAATATCAACAAAATTTTTCCTTTGAAACTTCATCTTTCGTAGTTAAAATTTATTGATTATTAACTCTAGAGTTTACAGTCACACCTACATATACGGATCCTTTTATGCACAGGTTTGCCATTTACAATAAATTTTTGAAATGCGCGCTGTGGCGCTGTGCATATATTTGAAGGAATTATAGAGATCGCCGGAAAACGTAGACCCGGAAGTTAAGACGAACAACTAAGACCGACCTAAAAGGTCCTAAAATCGAAGACCATTATTGATTAATATAATCTGAATAATTAATGTGAATGTCGTTAACAATATCAGCGTGTAAGACTTTTTCAATTTTTTATGTAAGATATAAATAACGAGAGTTAGGTTTCAATGAAAGTGCTAGCTGATATTTCAAAACTAAACCTTTCATTTTTTTGTGTAACTGTATATATTTAAATAGCCATAAATTAACACATTTCAATATCATTTAGCGAGCACTTAGRAAACATTAAAGAAATTACACATGATGCACCTGTTATAATGATGTATGTTCAGATAGAACCGCAAGGGCGGATCCAGTCGTAATATATGGAACAGATTATTGTCTAGAGCAAGAAAATTATGCACAATTTGACCGGAAGCAAATTGACTTTTATTGCAACGAGTATTTTTGACTACTGACTCAAATAGATTGTTAAGCAGCATAGTGGTAGACAAATGTTATATATGCTACTCGTTTTCCGTTTTCTCGATTAAAGTGCAACAGGAGCATAAACAGCAGAAAACAACGTTTATACTGATATATCAAAAAATATGTCGTCAAAAAAGGGGGGATGCGTCCGCACCCAAAGCACCTCCCCTGGATCCGCCCCTGGAACCTTTGTAAATTGTCATTAGGTTTGCCATGATCACCATTTTTCTGACATTTTATCTTCTAATGTTTCTAAAATGTTTTTTTTATATATATGACTTTTTGGCTGCTCTTTTGAGTGCTCTTTTCTTCTAATTTTCTGCACGTTCTCGTTGAAATTGTACCACATGAAGGCAAGCGCTGCGGCCTTTTAWATTTTGAATCTCATACGATCAATTCAAACATTGGCAAAGCTGGAAAAACAGTAAGTCTAGGTGATTGTCAAAAGCACTARTCGGGGTCCCTGTGGTATAGCTCGTAAAGCATCATGGGGGACTGTACACGACGGTGMCAGATACTGAAATTGTAGAAAAGATCTAAAGTCCTCGCCTCCAGCTAGCCCGACTAAAAATGCAAACCATGACAAAAYAGGAGAAAAATTACAAGAACATAATCATTTAGGGGCATTTAGATCATGGCGCTCATTTCTTGAATTTGGGCTTCCTGTGTGATTCTGTGAGGTCGACTGAAACTAGTGGAACGATGATGATAAGTGATACATGATTGGAAAGATATTTTAGCATTAATGTCATTGAGGRCAGTTGTAAACACAATCGATGATACTTCGGAATTATTAGGAGAAGGTATCTTTAAATCCTCGTTTTTGATTTGGATGCTGACAAGCTGCATTAACTTGCTTTTATGAAGCATATTTCAAGGTTTTGGTTGTGATGAGTAAGTTACTTATTTTCTTGCTTTTTAGCTGATTATATTCCATCAAGCGAGGAAAGAATGCAGAGAGAAAATCCTGCTGATRTTGTGTTCGTCTATCAAGTAAGGCGTCTTTATTTTAGCTCACGTMCCTATTGAGCCCTTTACTTAACACAAAAGTTTGCAGATATTATCATATTAAGCTTATTCCCAAGCTTATAACTAAAAACTTCCCAATAGATATAGTTGCATTCAAAGTGAACTATGAATTTGGTTTTCGACCAAAGTGTGGGGTAAGTATGCTTAAGTTTGATATTAGCTTCTGCAGTCTATGATGCKTATGTAGTTTAAGTATGCTTAAGTCAAAGGACCAGGAAGTATCTTGTCAAATTCAAATTACAGTCAAATTCCTGCTTGGAATCACATATGAGAATTTGGAAAATGACTCAAAGAACTGACAATCCCTACTTATGGAACATGTGATTATAGCAACAAAAATAGTCTCCTTCATGGTTCCYTTCACCATCTWGRATCAAAGYGGAATGACCACTGACTGTCCAATGATCAGAACCTGTTAATGTGAAAGAAAATTTATATCATTGCACACTCAATGGCTGTCTCACTTCAATGCAAAGGCATGGGGTATCGCTACCTTTCAAGATGGCACATCTTGGAACTGTGAAGGAAAATCATCCTTCATTTAATTCCAAAAAGGCTGGTCCCCAAGTTTTCTATTGTTTGATAAGCTAGAATACAAGCACTAAATGTGTGCAGGACTTCAATACTAAATACTTCTAACTAAACAATTGAAAACAACAGAATTAGCATCRTTTAGCAGTATTGGCTCTAACAGAAAGCAACCCCAAATGATCTACAAAAACCTCATAGGCAAATCCAGATTTTTCAAAACGAAGTGGTATACAGATCACATGATTTCCAATATTATTTCAGGATGCTGCAGTTTATCTGCATGAAGGCTTGGATAATGACAGATTTGACCATCATCCAACAAGACAAACTATGATGTGGTACAATATTGCACACAGTACTTGGTATAATATTCTGGACTTAATGGCATCAACACTTATACTGGCATTGGCATTTGCAGAGGAGACAAATGCAGTGGTTCCCAARGATGATGTCTTGTCTCTCCCTGTGCCTGTAAGTACTATTTTCAGGAAATTGTTGTCAACCTAGAAATTGTTATTGTTTTTATTTTGTGAATTAGAAAGTACAATGTACCCTTTGGTTTTTCATCAGGTACATGGTGTACTGGAAATAGCTGGACTCACTATACTGGGGCTTGGAATGGTGGTGAAAATTAAGTGGCAGGGATTGAAATATTTCTTTACTCATAAAAGATCTCTTTGTAAGGTATTGCTATGTAATGCGTATTTAACTCTTTGCAGTAAAAAAAACCCTAGTTGTATCACAACCTCAAAGTTTTGATTGAGGTTTGTTAGGATTTGGGGTTTTGCAGTAACCAATAAATCAACTTCATTTAGGCTATTGTAAGACAAAAACAATTTTATAAGTAAAAGAGATTAATGTCTATAATATATCTGAATTAAAGTGTTTTTAATGTGTTCATATATTAAGTCATAGATTGAAATACCCAAAACTTCTAGGTCATGAGACAAGGTTTCTGTTATAAATAGAGGATGTTACATAGATGCACAGAGATATGGATTATATCTTTGATTGTTCAAAAAAATCTCTCACAAGTGAGAGATTTTCAATAATGAAGATAAAATTCCTATCTCCAAGCAACCATTTAATTTCTATTTATTGTAAGTTATTTATGTTATAAAATGACTTTTATTTACCTCCAAATATATTATGAGATCATACCATGATTGTCATATTTCCACTAAATTACCATCTTTCAGTATACAATCTGATATCTGTGTTATCTTCTGATTAGTTTATCGTATGGTGTGTCGTATATGTTGAAGCCATTGTGGTGCTGATACGCAGTAAAAATCACTTCAGAGTCTCAAGGGCACTTCGTCCTCTTTTCCTGATTGACAGCAATTACCTGCGGGGAACAAGAAGGTAGAAACTAATTAAAAAAACAATTCATAGTTTTTACAAGTCTTTGTCATTAATACATCTCATTTTTTTAAGGGTATTAAGACAGATTGTGCTCTCTCTTCCACCGATCCTTGACATGCTGGTTCTTCTCATGTTCTTCATATTTATATTTGCTATCTTAGGTTAGTATAGTTGTATTTGAAATTCTGTGGTTAAAAAGGAATCAAGTTCAAGTTGATAATAATCTCCATCGCAAGATTTAAAAACAATTGTGAAAGACATTGTGGGAAAACTGTGTTCAAATCAAATTCAACAAACTAAACTTGTCAAACAACCATCAGTCTATATGTATTATGAAACCATTTTTCTGCTGATAGAAATGTTGACATTTAATTTCATGTATTATAGGTTTCTACTTGTTCTCATTGAATCCTAAAGATGAGGTAAACATTTTTGAATGTAGTTATTTGATTGATTGATGAATGATTTTTGGATCGTTTAATGAATTGATTTGTGGATTGATTGATTTGTGGATTGATTGAAGACTTGAAAAGTTACCATACTAGATGAACAAGGTTCTTGCCTGTTACTCAATGGAGATCTAATGATTGTTTCTTTGCCTATTTTTTAGTATTTTGAAACCTTTGAGAGGAGTTTCATCAGTTTATTTGTGCTATTAACTACTGCAAAGTAAGTATTGTTTACTGAATGCTGCTGTGTGTATAGGCCAGGGTTTCACAAGGATGGTTATAGATTTGGACTCAATCTGAACAAACCATTGAAATGTCCATAAAATGTGTTTCCCCAAATGATTTGACGTCAAGTATACTCTCATGTTGCAAATACTTCATCTCTAAAGAAAGAGGGATTCTGGAGACTTTAGAAATCCCCAATCCACGCTGTGAGCAGTGCTAGAACAATAAATTGACCTCAGTTATTTTGCTTGCTGGCATTTGTTAATGTTTTTAATAATGCCTAGAGTGTATTCTATCTAAAAAGAACTTTCACGTATGAAAAATAATCGTTAAAAGGATTTTTAACAATCTGCACAACTTTGTTGCAAACTATTTCACTGATATACAGTTATTTATGTAATCTTGTTGTCGACATTTGTGTTGATGTCTAGCCTGTTTCATTAAATAGCAAGTATTGTATTGCATTAAGTCTCCTCTCACAGCCGCTAGGACCTTCGTTCCCAGGTCACTAGCGTTTAGGGGGAAAGAGACGAGACTATAATATTGCATTTTACATGTAGTGGTTAGAAATTTAATKAATTGTTATTATTCATAGCTACCCAGATGTAATGATGCCGTCATATTATAAATCAAGGTGGTCCGTTCTGTATTTTGTGGCATACATTGGGATTGCTCTGTACTTCCTTATGAATTTGGTGAGTAAACTATTAGATTTGCTGTATAGAAATGAAAGAAAGTTATAGTGCTTAGAAAGAGGCAATATCCGGGAGAAGGACCCTTAGGAATAAATTCAGAAAAATTAATTTCCGACCTCACTGTGTTTCAAACCCACGACCTTCGGATTTGTMCTACCGATGCTCTACCAGCTGAGCTACAAGGCCAGACTGGGAGCAGGTCTGGGTGATTTGCTGTATATTCTTGAGAGTAAATATTTGTATCCATGACTGCATACTAGTATTGCTTCTCTCATTGGAAATTAATTTACTTATAACATGATTTTTTTTATAACTTCTTTATAACTTAATATTTTCTAGTTACTGGCTGTTGTCTATGAAACTTTCACCAGCATTGAAAAAAATAAATTCAGAAAACTGTTYCTTCACAAAAGACATGCTGCCAGGCATGCATATAGCTTGCTGTGCAATAAAGATGTAAGTTTTACCTCTACATTYCAATACCAGGCAATTTCAYATCTTGAGATGGATACCGTAGATCCTCCATTTTGTCTGTATTTTATCATTTTCATATTTAGCTAGCTCTTTTTGTAAAGCCCTGGAACTCTCATCACTGGGCAGTATCCCAATATCAATCCATTCATCTCAGCCATTCAGGCTATTCCATATTTTTATCCATTCTATTCACATTCATCCGTTTCTTTTTCCAGCCACCACACTGGATCTCAYTGCGTCAGTTCATGGGACTTATGACCTACCTTAAGCCTAGAAACGGTATTCATTTGTTCAAATCATATATGTGATTTGAGT